CTTTGAATCCTTGGGTCAATAAATAGCATATTATTTGTAAAGAGGAGCATGTTGCACTCTTTCAAGGCTAAAAAATATTTTCCCTCAAATGATATCAGGCAATATACTAGATACTTAGGCTCCTGAGTCCTTGACATCCCAGCCACCATCATTAATGTTTTGTTCTATATCCTATGTCCTCCTACTAATAATGTAGGGCACAGAGTTGGATACCCTCTTCCTATTACAGCAGCCAAAGAAGGCCACATCAGTGCAAGGGGTAGATAATCTGAAAGGTCTGCATGTTTATCCATATCAATTTATATGATAGAAAAATTTATACTCAAAGGCATAAAAATATATGACCCAAATCCTTCCTCCTATCATTTTAATTCTGGATCAGGAACAGAAAATAAAAAGTACTGATCCCTTTCTCTTTCACAGATCTTCATATTTTCTATAATTGTACTTCATTCATTCATTCTTGCATTCAGGAAAGTGATGGGGGAAAAAAGGTACGTGAGATTTGACCCTGATCCTCTAGGAGCTAATATGCTAGAAAACAAAAGAATCCTGTAAACCAATTATGACAGTACAATGAGGTGAGGACCCTGACTGAGAGCAGTCCCTTCACTGGGGAGTTGGAAAACTCAATGAAGTAGGAGTCACTCATACTATTACCTCTAAGAGTCATATTCCTTTAACCTTGTATCTTCAGGTGCAGCAAAAATGAAGAATACTTACAATCACAGTCATTGTTATTACTGTCTTAAACATTTATTATCTCTTATACAGGGCTGCGACTACAGTGAGGTGAGTGAGGTGCTTGTGTGAGGTATAAAATTTAAGAGGACTTTAAAAAGCTCAGGCTAAGTATAGTGGCTCACAACTGTAATCCCAGCATTTTGGATGGCTGAGGCAGGAGGATTTTGCATTAATTGATTAATTTTGCTTGAACCCAGGAGTTCGAGACCAGCCTAGGCAACAGGAAAAGCTCATCTCTACAAAAAAAAAAAAAATTAAGAAATTACTCAGGTGTGGTGGCACACATCTGTAGTCCCTGTTGTTTTGAAGGCTGATGTGAAATGATCGCCTGAGCCCAGGAGGTCAAGGCTGCAGTGAGCCATGGTGTGCCACTGCACTCTAGCCTGGGCGACAGAGTGAGACTCCAACTCAATAAATAAATAAATACTCAGTAATCAAGATAATCATATTTTCATATCTTAATGTGATGTTTTAGAAAATAAAATTAATGCAAAATACTTCATACTAAGCAAAATATCAAACTTTATTTTTTTCTTTTGTAATTAATTTTTTAAATTTTATTTTAAAGATGTGGGATACAATTCAGGAAAAATATCAAACTATAAAAAGATAAGATCAAGCTGATATTGGTCTCAGGTACTGTAGGATTACACAGAGGTCTAAGATTTTGTTTACTAGCTTTGAGCGCATAATCTTGTTGAGGTAGTGTGAAAAGGATGTAAAAAATAAACAAAGGTACCTATTTTATCTTTACTCTATCTATTGCATGAGAGCAGTCCCTTCACTGGGGAGTTGGAAAACTCAATAAGAGGACAGGGTGAGAGATTGATGCCTGATTTTTATTATACGATGAAAGTCAAATAGAAACCTTAAAGAAAAAATTCAATAGCATGAGCCTTTATAGTTCTTCTTAAAGAATGAACCCAGGTTCTTAGTCTAGATTCAAGGGCTCTCTAGACATTTTAGTTTAAAAATTTGGTAGAGCTTCACTCTGGTGCTCAATGATTAGTAGCTACAGCTACAGCTACCCTCTACATATCTGCATCTTTTTCATGGTCTACCAGCTGATAATTTCTGCTCTTCTATTTGTATTATTCACATTTCATAGGAAAATTAAATTTGCTAAGTCTTTTTTTTTTTTATCTTTTGAACCCTACCAAACAGGTCTACAGGTCATGGTTGCAGGGTAAGGGGCCAAATACTGGTTCAATACTTCTTTTGCTATGGAGGAAACTGAATTAGGCTGGGGTCTTAGAGCTGAGGAGTCTTTGAGGAGCCACTATGCCCATGGAGTGACTCTCACAGGAACTGTTGGCAGGTGTTGCAGTGGCCAGACTCAAACACACATGAAGTCCCTCTGAGGGCAGATGAACCATGCACACACACTGAAAATAAGTATTTAAAGCCTGTCAGTTCCTGATGATGTTGAGGTTTTGGCCTTTTGGTATAAACTGTAAGAATTAATAATGGCCTAAAAAATGTAAGTCTAATTAGGAGATTCAGAATAACTTATGGCTTTCTTGAAAGAGTCATATTTTTTTCATTTCTCTCAAAGAATGGTAAAAAAAAAAATTCATTAATTAATTGCATCAAATGGGATGGAGCAGTTGCAGGCAAGGTAGTTTTCCTTAGGATGGGGGTAGATGAAGCACCTCCCTCCAACACACATGTTGTGGATTAGCAATTAAAAATGACAAGGAAGCAGAACAAATAGCAAGTGCTAATGGAGTTTAGAGAAAAGAGAGATCACCAAGGGGCACAGGGTGCTAATTATATGCTATAAGAGCCTGCAATTATTAAATCCTGGATATGCAAATAAATGCTGATAGCTCAGCAGATGAAACTACAAAGCCACTTATCTATGGCCCTTGATTAGTGGACACCAAGATAAATGATTTGTTTATAAATTCACTTAGAGATTGCACTAATATCTCCAATGACTCCCCCACCCCACTTTCTGGGGGCATCCACAGAAAGAAGAACGCCAATAAGCACCTCAGATTGGATTTTCATATTCATTACTTTCTGACCTAGAGCACTCTGGAGGCTTATAATAGGATAAGCAGGTCCTTCTATTGTGACTGGCTAATTCACACTGCCAAAAGTCATTTCCCCAGGGCACTTCTTTACTGACTAAATGGGAAGTGATGGTGGCATCTGTTCCTGCCACCCAGATCACAATGACAACTCATAGGCTGGCATTTCTTGTCTATCTGACAGAGAGGTCACAAAGAATATAACTGCAGGGAAGGACTAAGGACACTGACATCAGTACTGGGGCTTCTGAAACTTAGAGCTGAGGAGTCTGAGGAGCCACTATGCCCATGGAATGACTCTCACAGGATCTGTGGGCAGGTGTTACAGTGGCCAGACACACATGAAATCCCTCTGAGGGTGGATTAAACCATGCACACACACTGAAAATAAGTATTTAAAGCCTGTCAGTTCCTGACAATGTTGAGGTTTTGGCCTTTTGGTATAACCTGTGAGAATTAATAATGGCCTAAAAAATGTAAGTCTAATTAGGAGATTCAGAATAATTTATGGCTTTCTTGAAAGAGCCATGTGTTTTTTTTTTCATTTTTCTCAAAGAATGGTAAAAAATAATCCACTTCTTAAAAAAATCTGTCAAGTACCTACTATGTGCCATTTCTGAGTTCATATGGTAGCCTGCGTAGTACTTACTGTACTGTGCCCTAGTACATAATAGACATACTATGTGATAGAGTATATGACAGAATTCTAATACTGTGATAAAGCTATTAGACAGAAATCTTCACATGTGAACTCCATTTTTATGTCACTTTAAGTGAAAGGAGATTTTCACTGCTATTTTTAATTTTGTCGTTTGATTGCAAGAGGACCTTGTCAATGCTGCAAAAAAAACTTTGTCAGTTTTGTTATGTTTTGTTATCTTTTCATCTATTCATCTTCTTAGATATCAAATGTTTTAATAATCAAGAAAAGAAACTGGATTTTTTATGTCTGTTCTTTAGCCAGTGACTATGCAAAATAGCAAGTAAGTAAATAAATAAAGTACAGTACCCATTTTCATTATCTTGAAGGTATTGTATTGCTTAAAAAGTAAAATATTTTTCCTCAATGCATTGAATATAACATAACTAGGTATTTTTAAAAGATGTATATTACCCAACTTTGGTTCTGAAAATTGATCTCAAAATATGGTACTACTGAGGTAAAGGGACTAATAAAAAAACATAGTAATATCAGTTTCTTAGTTTATGGAGACAACATCAGAGTGAGAGAATTTAATCAGTCCTCCTAGGCAAAAAGTACAATGTTACTGAAATGACATTATCACGAGAATGTCTCATGAACTAAAAGAAGTCATTAATTCCTTTCTTTTAAGGTCCTGTACTGGCAGTTTAGATTAACAACCATTTTATGTGTCATAATGTCTTAAAATAAATGTGCAGTGAGTTTTCCAAACAGTTATAAGTCCTAATTAGAAAGTAAGAAAATATCATTCTTTATTTTTTCCTGTGTATACAGAGAGTATCTAATGCACTTCTTTCCCTGTGCATACAGAGAGTGTTAGTTGGACTCTGAACATAATTAATTATATATATATTAATTAGCACATATGATAGATCCTTTCTATAGTTATTTTTCCATATCATAATTGCACTCTTAAATTTCACAGGAGTATTTCTGTTAATATTAGGCCCTGTTTATATAACAAATAATGACACTAGCTTAAACAGCATAGCTTATTTTTACCCATGGAAAAGAAAGCCAGAGGTAGATAGGGCAGAGGTAGCATCGTGTTACTCCATGTCATCAGTGATATAGGCTTTACATTTAATACTCTACTACATGGATTTTTTGTCTCATCTTTGAGTTTGCTTCATGATCCAAAATGACTGTTGAAGCTCCAGCTATCATGTCTGGGTTCCAGATCAGCAAAGGGAGGAAGTAGGAGAAAACAAAATTTCAGGGATCCCAGATTATCAGCTTCCCTATATGCTGCCATCTCAGGAATCCGCAAAACTTCTGCTCAAATTGCACCAGTCCAAACGTATTCATGGAGCCACATCTACCCACAAGCATGGATGGGTAGTAAAATCTTTATTATAGGAAAAGTGACTGGTGAAAATTGATTTTCTATTAATAAGAAATAAGGAGAAATAGACACTGTTTTGGATTTTTGCTTTTGCATACGGTGAAATACAGTTGCACAGGCATTTTTGAATGTTCTAACCATGCATATCTTTCTCTTCCTCTTGTATCACCAGGCCTCCGGAACCTGTTTACAGCACTGTGAACAAACTGTGTGATAAGCCTGCTTCTCCCAGGCACTATTCCCCTGTTGAGTGTGACAAAAGCTTCCTTCTCTCAGCTCCCTACCCCCACTACCACCTAGGCCTGCTCCCTGACTCTGAGATGACCAGGTACTGCATGTGCTTCCTCACTTCATCTTCTTGAACTGCATGTGCTTCCACAAGGATGGATGGGTAGAATCCGCCTCTGCTCACTTTTCTTGCACTAAACATCTTCCTCAAGGTGGAGAGATGTTCTGTTTTCTTGGTGCAATGAAAGAAATTAAGAACATTGCCTTGGTTTTTTTCCTGGTATACTCACAGAACACTCAGACATGATCATATAATGCCCCATATGTTTTTGGTTTTTATACATTTTAATAAGTTATTAATTCTATTTTTCCAGAAGAATTAATTTTGGAACTTAATTAGCACCATTTCCCTTACACAAAAGGTTGAATGAGAACATTTATTGAGTATTCTTTGAATAATATTTAACAAGTGCTTACTATACTCCAGGCATAACATAGCCTAAGAAACAGATGTTTATTGCATTTAATTTTTTCTTTAAAAGATTAAATTAGTATCACTATTTAACTGAGTCCTTGAGGTATTAAGCAACTTGTCCAAAACTACAGAATTAGTTGGTGCTATCTAACCATAAAAAACATAAAATTAATATTTACAGTATATTATCTTGCTAGATGTATATGTATGTCCTCTTATTTAATTCTTCCTATCTTATATAAGGAAACGAGAATTCAGAGAGATTAAGACATTGCACTCAGTATAATCTTGTCGATAAATGTAGTGTCCAGATTTGATCATAGAACGTTTTGAGTCTTTTCACAACAACATTGTAAACAAACTATTCTAAGTCTAAAGGCAGGGCATAATTCTGTCCTAATATTCTAAAGCATATATATGATAAGTAATATGTACCCCATCTTCATATATTAGCCAGTGTCAGAGAGAAAAGAGCAAGAAAAGTAGAATTCGATGTTCTACAAATAGTTTCACTTCAGTGAAAATCCAAATCTCATTTGTATGTTCCTACACATAAAAAGGTGCTTGTGTAGTTACAGTTTCAGACAGAATAGTTTCATAATATTGTCAGGGCTGAGAAAATACAGTTTTTTGGAATGATTCAAAGTGAAAATGAATATATCAAGAGGGTCTTCTTGGAACATCATCTTTATGTTTTAATATCTTCAAAAGAATATGTTTAGAAGTCAACTACTCATCTCTCTCGTGGAGTTAAATAATAAATTTTAAATCATATCAACATTTCCAGAAATAGATGAGAAAACATATTTTTGACTATGTAAATCAGCTGGGACATTTTCACTAATTTGCAACATTTAAAGCCTAATTAACGTTATTTCAGAATGCTTTATAAATATTAATTAAATTCTCCTTTATTTTTAACAAATCATAAAAACTATTTATTGATACAGTGTAGTATACCATTTTGAACCTAAGAGGGCAAAGTCATGATAGCCATAGGCTATAATCATGACTTTCTAATCATTATGCCTGTAGAATCAGCTATATAAGCGCAGATAACGTTTATCAGGCTCTTCCACTGTGCTAGGCATTTTGTTAAGCACTTCTTACGAGTTAGCTCTTTTAATCCTCAAAATCACCTTATGAGGTAGATATTATCATTATCTTCCTCTTACAAATGAGGAACTCGAGACTTGAGAAGTTGCTTGACTTGCCCAAGATCATCTATGAATAAGTGGCAGAGCTGGGATTCAAATCCAGGTGATGACTGACCTGGCAGATCATTAGCCATGTTTGCTCACTAGAAAAAATTTTCACCCATTTCTCTTTATCTATCCTTTCTTATCTTTCTCCTGATTTCTCATATTCCTTCCTCTGGCTCTGTATGAGTAAATCTTTTGTTTTTTTCCCTTGTGTTCTTTTTTTTTTTATAAACATAAACTTTACGTTGATTTCCTTTCACCCAACTGGGGATTTTGAAGTATGCTTCCAGAAAAACTCACCATAAGTAGTTGGTGAGTCTACCTTCTTTGTGAACCCAAAGATATGATACTTTTCCATTTACTTCTTGTGATCTATATTATGAAGAACATAGTGTTTCTTTTTGCATTTTTTAAATTAGAAAGTACAGTATAATGCTGATATTTTTAAAATTATACACCCTCAACAATTCCGATATATATCAGTTCCCCAACCTCCTCCTCACCGTCCCCTCTTTGGGAATTCTATGTTCAATGTATTCTAATTTTGAACCTCTCCCCCGCCCCCTTTTTTTTTTCCTTTTTTCATTATCTTATTCTTTATCTTATCTTTCTGGAAAAAAAGTCATATGCGCGCACACACACACACACACACACACACACACACACACACACACACACACACACAATCTTAATTTCAACCCACTTTGCTCCTCCCCCGTATTCCTCTACTCAGTAAATGGCACATACATCTACACAGTTGTACAAGTCAAAAACCTTGGGGTCATCTTTGCCACCTTGTTCTTCCTCACATCCACCATTCAGTTCATCTTCAAATCCTGTTGATTCCACCTCCCAGTAGATTCACTGCCTTTTTACTTCTATTTCTTTTTTTTTTTTTTTTGAGTTGGAGTCTCACT